TAGTTGAATAATAAAATTGCCTCGTGAGGTGGCCCACGATTGTTGTTGATCGATATTCTATCTAATTGATCTATTGTTGAATTGATAAAAAGTGGAACTTGATTTTATATCTTTGTTGCATAGGGACTTGGCATGACGTATTTGGGGTTAAGTTTAATTAGTTGAGTAGTTAACGTGACCTAGAAGTGTGTGGGAAAGTCTGGGGCGTTACAAAGGGTTTGCACAACGATTCTTCACGAATCAAGCTCGAACCCGGTCTCCGGTTCCGACCTGAGCACTAGGGTGGACCTGGACAAGAGGGTAAGCACTCCGACGCTCAAGTCAGTATAGATCGGACTCCGTATTTAGTTCGAGGTGAGATTCGATACCTGAGCGTGAAATGAAGCCCTCTATTTATAGGTGATGGATCCGACACTACACACGACCGGCGGTTATATGTCTTTTCTCATATCGGACTTGTCGGGTTCCGAGCAGGTCGGACCCCAACCAGGTCGAACCTTGACGCCCTCCTCGGTAGGGCCGAGGTGGACCGTAGCAATCCCTCTTATTCAGTTTCTTCAAACACTAATAAGGGTCCTCCACGTGTCCCGGGTATGTATTACCCCCAAACAATGAGTTTATCCCATTTTGTGTGAGATTATACAGCCAAACAAGAAAACCCATTTCCCAAAATATGAAACTTGATTGATGCTCGGATGCATGCCTTTCAAATCTGTGGGCAACAAAGTTCTTTTTCCTCCTTATGTGTTCAAAAATCATTATCCCTTTTGCTCCATCTACAACTAAATATCTACAATGAGCCAAGAAATTTCCAAAATATCTTCAATCTTTTTGTTTACAAAATGAACCCCCTCAAGCGAAATGAGTGAGATAACCACAAGCGAAATGAGTTAGATAACCACATCGCGAGTGAATATGCCAGCAGTGAAGTAGATCTACAGTAGAGACATCGAAGATGATGTAAATCTGGGGTAAATACAACGATAATGAGGTAGATCTGAAGTGTAGACGCTTGCGGTGAGGTAGATCTGAAACGGAGATACCGAGATGAGACAAACCTGGAGTGGAAATGTTAAGGGTGAGAAAGAGATGAAGTAGAGTTGGTATTGATGGAGAGATATAGAAAGAAAATCGATTCTGTTCGAGTTGAACCGAATTTTTTTCCCTTAAACCCGAGAACTGAACCGAATTGGTCGGTTCTTATATTTTTTTTAACCCAACCCTTATGGTTTAGGTTGGGTTGATCGGGTTCTTCAGGTTATCAGGTTTTTTTAACACCTTATTGCCCATGTCGAGCGCCCCTACATGCCACGCCACTACACCCACACACCTCTGCAACCTACCGCCTGCATGCCTTCTTTGCTACCTACCGCGCACGACTGCACGAATATTCCCTACCTCAAAATATTCTCTACCTCAAAAGATAAGAGACACATGCAAGCGTACACATTCACAAGAATACAAGGTAGTAATTCGATGGTCAAATCCTCAAGGATGTTTTGCTTCCATAATGAGTTTGATGAAATGAAATGTTTCAAACTATAATCGAGTCTTATGAGTAAAAATGGATTGGCTTAGATTTGAGAGAAAACATACACTAGATAAAAAAGCGTTAGGTGCTACTTGAACACTTTCTGGAAATTTGAGTTATACTCTCTCACGCACCTCCTATATCAGTTTCCTATTATTTTATCTAACCTAACCTTCTTAGTATTAGGCCTTAGTGTGTAGATCAATTTTTTAGTAACCAACCCAATAAATGACTTAAGGTAAAGTTTTTAGAAACTACCCTAGAAATGTGCCAAGCGCAACCTAGATTTTTCGAGCTTCAATAAATAATTTTAGTGCATATTTAAAGGAAGAAAAATGCTCAAAGAAATAAGATAATATTTTCTATTGATTTAATTTAAAAAAAAATAACAAGGTGCACAAGTCTAGCTTAACCTCCATCTCTTTCGAGCTTGAAAGGAGTTTAAAACTCGCTAAGGAACGTTAAAGAAATTAAATAGATGAAGTACAACCGAAACAAAATTGAATTAAATCAAGAAAAAAATGCAAAAACGGTATACTAAAGCTATTGTTTCGAAAACAAGTAAATGACAGAGAGAAAATTACAACAAAACTAATCTATCATCTAAGACTTAAAATGAAGTTAATGAGATGCTTTGTATGGCGAGGGAGGCTCTAGTTGAACTTCCCAACAAAATAGGAGAGAATGTTGTGATTTTGCCAAATTGAACGATTTTGACTTAGACTAGGCCGAATTGGTTAAAGCAATCTAAATGTGAGATGATTTTCATACCCCTTGTGATTAAAACGTGCGTTCTGATTAATGTTGCTACTATGCACCTGGTACAATGTCCTTGAAAAATGAAAAAATGTGAGTTTTTGCCTAGTTTGACCCTAATCTATCTCAATTTAACTTCAAACATCTCATATTGCAATTTACCCAGAAATGTTCAGCTTATATCCTACTTTAACAATATGTAAATAGTTTTGATAAAATATGTAGGAAAAAGGGTCGTTTCAATAATCAAATATGACCCGACAGTAAGCTTTCCATAGTAAAAAGTCAAAACTTATCAGCAAGCTTCATGCCGCCCATGCTCGCCTGTGTGCAATCTCTATGCCACCCAGCACCAACCCCTTGCCGTCATTTTGTTGCTTGTCACCCAACTGTAACAAAATAAGGAAAATATTTTCCTTAAAATTTTTAACTTGTTTTATTCCCTTCAGATAATTATTTTCCTTTAGTTTTAAGCAAGTATAATTTTTTTATTTTTAGGAAAGAATTTTCAATTTCTTTTATTTACCATATATTTTACGATTTATTTTATTTTACAAATAATTATTGTAAAGGTCTTAGGCTTTGGCCTACAAATAGTTGTCCTCTTTGTAGTTTGACAAGTTTTAAGTAATAGAATTTCAAGTTGACAGATTTCTCACCACTTGCCTTTGTGCAAACCCCCTCCCCCAAATAGTGTATCCTTTGTGTGGTCGAACTTAGGGTGCATTATTATCGGAGTATGATTGTCTGGTTGGTCACCAAACTCGTGGAGTATTTCCAGCCTTGAGTATAGTGAGTATTATGTTTACTCATGGCATTTCACAACAAAGGTAATCTATTTAACCTTTTTCTTTCGGGTTGAACCAACTATACAATTTGATTCAAGTGGCAAGAAGCTCAAGTAGTCTATACACCTGGATTGTCACGTATCATATACTCAATTCAAGGAACAATTGATATTGTTGGTTTTATTCTAACAAGTCAAATTTTTATCTAGTTGGTTATGAAAATTCTGGATATTTATTTGAGCTATCAAAAACTAGACCTCAAACAAGTTATTTATTTACATATGGAGGACCTGCTATATCATGACAATTAGCGAAACAGACCAATAACAACCACCTCCTCAAATTATGTTGAAATTATTGCAATTTATGAGCTAAGATTAATAACTCGACACATTCGTGAAACATGTAATTTGTCTTCTAGTAAAAATATCTCAACGATATTATATGAAGATAACACAACATGTATAGTTCAAACCAAATGAGGATATATTAAAGAAGATAGAACAAAATATATTTCACCACAGTTTTTCTTACACTCATGATCTTGAAGAAAATGGAGACATCACTGTACAATAAATTTGTTCAAAGGATAACATGGTAGACTTATTTACCAAGACATTACCTACTGTAACCATTGAAAAATTTGCGCACAACATTGGATGGTAGATCTCAAATAATGTTTGCATGAATGGAGCAAATATATTGTACAATAAATGAATGATAAAGCAAGATTACCACCCAAAAAAAAAAAAAACTTAATTCTTTGTTACTTTTCTAAAGAAAGTTCTATAAGGCTCTTAACATCATTCATTATTAGTGGATTATATCTTATTCATTTTTTGTCTTCAAATGTCTCTAAGGTCTAGTTTTTTTTTTTTTCAACCTTCTCTATTCTCTCTGCTTCTTTTAAGGATTTTCTTTTTCCTGATTAATGCCAATTGGATCATGTAGTTTATTTTACAAAAAGCTATCTTGGTTGTGGAGTCGACTCAAAGCCTTTTTGTATTTCTCGCTTTTGTACTTTACCTTACAGTGGAAAGGCTTGTTTCTTATCCAAAAAGAGATCTATATTTGATACGATACAGTTTATTGATAAAAATAGTGACAAAAACAGCCTAATGACAAGGTACAAGACGTCCCTCTCCCAAAAAGGCTAAAAAAGAAGAGTTCTCCAATAATGTAAGATTTGAGAGAGGTGGTAATTACAAAGCTGCCACCCTTTCAGCAAACGAGGAAAACAAGAAGAGGTGATCTAAAGATTCCTCATTCCCCAAACGGACACAGCACATAGAAGGGGATAAATGCCACGCGGGACATCTTTTTTGTATCCTATCATGTAAGATTTGACGCTCGTGATTTCCTCAACCTCGTGCATCTTTGAGTTATGAAACAATAGCAAGCGTCCCTTTACATGTAAAATCCGAAGGGATGAAAGAAAAAAACAAACTTTCGGAACTTCCCAGATGATACATCCAAATTTCTTGCCCTACCCTATCACATTCTTGATCAAAAGCGTACTATTTTAGATTACACAAAATATATTTTAGATTACACAAAATAACTAACCGACGCTTGCTGCCTAAACTGAACACATTGACCAACATAGGAGTAGATGATACCATAAGACACCAGACACCGTGACAAAGTTGAGGAATAATATACCAATACCATAAGGCACCATGTCCAATAAACCCTTAGGCTTACAATTTTTTTCTTAATCTAATAGGCCTCTTCTAATCTCCATCAAAGTTCAATATCTAATCGACTGGTAGCAACTCTATATTTTTGAGGAATTAATTAGACAAAGTTAACAATTTCACAGTTCTAAAAGTTAATAATAGGCCAACTAACACAATTTAAAAAACTAATATAACATTTAAATAAATAAATAAACATCGCAATAGATTTAATGGTATGTATCCAAATTAAAAAAATGTTGGTAGGCCAGTTAGAACCGACGGACAACGTATTGATACCTTTTAAAAATTTCAAAGCTAAGATAAAATATAATGGATGAAGTTTTGAATCAACAATTAACAAATTTCCCGAATGACCAAAGTGTGAGAGATCATAAAATTTAACAAACACTAAAATAGCAAACCAACTCCAGTCTCTACGTGTTAGGACAATAATAATGGCAATCCCTAAACCAATACCTAGACAGAAAACAAGAAAGAAATACTATGAGAACGCGTTCGCTTCAGCTCTTGATTTTTTTCCATAGGAATCTCAAAAAATCAACAACTACTTCAAAGATCTTGCACACTCAAACCTACAAGAATTCAAACAAAAATAAAAATGCATGAATAAATTATCCACACAAGAATTTCTACAAATTTGATGGTACAATATCAAAAAAGCAATCAAACCATCTAAACAAATAGAATAGGAGCTAAAAAGAATACCTGGGGGAAGAGACTGCTTCAATTTGTCAGCCTTCTCAGAGTCGAACACGCAGAGCGTGTAGAGGTACTTGGAACAGCGAACCTTAAACTTGACTACATCTCTACTCCTCTTGATTTTGACTGAACGGGCATCCTTTCTTCTTGCAGTGAGAAGAAAATCTTTTATCTCATGGATTTGCTTCGGCTGTCCAAGAAGAATTTAACACATGTTGTTCCGTAAAACCTTAAGTATTGATATTCATAAAATAAAGTGCATAAACCCATCAAAGACAGAAACAACTCATGGCAGTATCTAAACCGGAAAGAATGCAACTGAGAGATCAATAGCAACCACTTAGGAATGAAGTTGATAGGTGAATGAACCTCAAAATAAATACTAAAAATCAAAACACAAAAAATAAACTGCATTCAAATATAAAATTCCTCCACAACAATTTTTAATACAATACTGGAAAATTGTGGTTCTTTTATGAGAAACCAAACCTTTCATTGATAAAATGAAAAAAGAAACAAAGAAAGATACAAGACATAAGAAAAAATCAGTCCTAATTACAAAAATAATTACTAAAGGTAGGGGCACCAATCAGAAAGGATGCGAGCTAACTCAACTGGAGAGCAACCTCAAATAAGGCAATCAATGTTTTAAAAAGCTTAAGGCGGCTTTAAAAGTATAAAATTCATAGCAAGGTAAAACAATGTATTATTAATATGTTAGTGTTAATATAGAAGTATGAAATACATCATTTTTGTTAATTAGAACTAAAAATTAATTCTAAAAATTAGGAAAGTAAAGAAGAATACTGAAAAATATTAAAAAACAAAAAGGAAAAATAGGGAGAAAGGAGAAATTTGAAAGAACACATCAAACGGAAAACAATACTTAACCAAATTAGAAAACTTGTAGAATATTTTGGTGTAATATTCGTGAAATTTTTTTAAGACCATATTGGGTTAGCAGGCAGTGGCATCACATATAGGGTGGAAAAAGCCAGAACAAAACAAACAAACAAAAATAAGTTGCTTGCTACCACCGTTAAATATTCCAGTAAGCAAGTCCTAATTACAAAATATATATATATATATATATATATCATTCGGGTACAACAGAACTGATTGATTTTGCAGAAGAAAAACTATCATACTCAAATTAAAAAGCTTCCCAGAGACTACCGAAATTTCCATACAGCAACGAATTCGACAGAATCAACAATAGGGAAGAAACGAAGAAAAACTATCATACTCAAATTAAAAAGCCTCCGAGAGATTACCGAAATTTCCATACAGCAACGAATTCGACAGAATCAACAATAGGGAAGAAACAAAGTACCATTTTTAGGGTTCAGGAGAAGCAAACAGATGGGGGCGTGGAGCGAGCGGCTGCGATAATAGATTTTAGAAAGTAGAATACAGATGGTTTTAGAGAAACCTAAACCAAATTGGGCTGCGTTTTAGTGGGCCTTTTGTTTTGTATCTAGTGGGCCATTACTTGGGGATTTTTTTTTTTTTTTTGAGAATTTACACCAGTGTCCCTATTGTCACCCCATATTGAAAAATGCTCAAATCATCTTTCATAATAAAAAATGTCCATTTATATTCTTGTAATTGGTTTTCAAGTTTCATATTTACCCTTTTACCCTTCTATTTAGTTAGTAGTTTTAAAATCAAAATATCATGACTTTCATTATCTCTCCTATATTTTATACCTCCTTGATTGCTTTTTTTTTTCCTAACCACAATTATTATAAATTTAGATATATATGGAGATAGAATTCGCCAATTATAAGGAGACATCACATTGACGGAGACGATCAAGGATGGAATCTATCAGAGTTGAGTTGACGGGAGAGAAGAGGCAACAACGATGGGCAATGAAGTGGGTTGCAAGTGGAGCGGGGTAAAGGAGAGGGAGACCTATACGTTGAGTTTCGATAGTTCGTGTACCTTTTTGATTTGAGGTAGAGTGCTTTAAATTTTTGTACTAACTGTTCACAAAAATATACCTTATTTCTTCATAATATTTGTATTTACTTACTTGATCTTGTTCACTGTATTTATTACTCTCTCATTATTTTTATATTTTTGTATTAATTGTTCAAGAAAATACACCTCTCTTCACCGTATTTGTTCCTCTATTCACCATATTTGTTTCTCTATTCACCGTATTTGTTGTATTTTTATGTTCACCGTATTTGTTCTACTTTTGTTTCTCTATTCACCATATTTGTTGTCCGTATTTGTTGTATTTTTGTTTCTCTATTGACCATATTTGTTGTTTATTGTATTTTTGTTTGTTTGTTCACCGTATTTTTTATTTGTTGTTTTTGTTTCTTTAATTACTGTATTTGTTCATCAATTTGTTCTAGCTCGAGTGTTATTTCTATTTCTAACTATTTGTTTTCCTTAGAATTGTTTTTATAATTCTCTATAAAATTGTTTTCTAATATAGGTAGGATTCTTAAAATATTTGAATTATCCTATAATGATTAGGTAGGATTCCGATGAAAAAGAAAAAATAACAAATTCATTTTAAAATTATTTTAGAAGATGGTAATTTCGTACCTAAAATATTAGTACAGATCTTCCTACTTTTATGTTGATTATTATTTAAAAATGAGAGTTGTTTGACCATATTTTGAAATTGCAAATTTTAAATAGCTATATCTATTCCTATCCCAAAAAAAAGGATTAATTGCGACCAAATTTAATAAGACGTTTTAAAAAAATGGCCAAACCCCTGGGATATTACAATAATGGCTAAATGGCTTTTTTTTCTTAAATACTAAAAAAAATGTTAAAGACAAATATACCTTGTAACCAATTTGGTATATAGGCATAATTTTAGGGATTTAAGATTTTTACGAATTGCAAAAATAATTCAGCTTAATAATAGAGATTCAACTGTATTTAATAAAAAGTAAATGAAATTAAAAAAAATTATCATAAATCTAATTTAAAATTGCTAATTAGAATTTGAAAGTAGATTTAAAAAAATTTGATAAGACTGTATCGAGGTATATTTTGAAATTTACCCCTCTAAATGAGAAGATTTACAAATAAAAAATAAATGAAATTAAAATAATTAACTTAAATCTAATTTAAAATTGCTAATTAGAATATGAAAGTAGATTTTAAAAAAATGAGGTATATTTTGAAATTTAGCTATTTAGATTTATAAATAAGAGGTAAATATAAATAGGAAAAATTAACATTACCTTTATTGGTTTTTTTAAAATTAAAAAAACAAAACAAAACAAAACAAAAGAGTTTTGAACAGTACCATGCCCCCAACAATCCAACCTTTAGAACCTCCTGCCGCGCAACAATCCAACCTTCACCGCTGCCCAACCCTTAGCCGCCGTCCATACACACCGGACGCCGTCGAACGCCGCCGCCCCCTCAACACCGAACGATGGCCCTCACTACTTCACGCGGCCGTGCCCCCTCCTATCACCACGTCATCCACCCCTCGTTCCTTCATGCCGAATGCAGTCACTGCCGCATCGCCCATCCCGCTGCTGCAATGCCCAGCTCGCACCGATTTGCCCAACCCGCAGCCGCATCGCTGTCCCTCATTCCTTCACGCCGAACGCAGTCGCCCAGAATCCAACATTCACTTCATCCGTCCAAACCAGATTCGACCCTCCCACCACAGACTAAAACCGGTCGTGGTTGCCCATTACTCCGACTGTTTGATTAAGGTAAAATCTTTGTTCTGGTTTTGCCTATAAAGCTTAATTTAAAAAGATATTTTTTGTCTATCTACAGGTGTATTTTTTAAAATATATAAATGTGGGACCTACTACATGAGTGTTGTTAATAACCAAAATTGAGGAGTCTATGCATTTAACTCTAACAAACATACTATATTTAAGTAAAATTAAAACTAAATAAAATTTACAGATACGGTTAAAGTTAGAGGAGGAATAACTCGACGATCAAGTGAACGATTAAAGGCTGCTTAGATAACAAGGCGTCGAAGAGAAACATGGACGGTCAACTTAGACAATGAAGAAGAGGTATATATGCAACAGTTTATATATGGCTTGTTTTTTTTAAAAAAAAATCATCCCATAGATGTTTTATCTTTATATATAAGATTGAATCATTGAGAACCAAGAACCCTGAGGTAAAGGACTATGCTACGTGGCCCTCCAATTGACTTGGCACCTTTGCCTTCCCTTCACTGTCAGTTGGGCTATTGGGAGGAGAAAGGATGGGTGGTATTCATATACCAGTTATTTTGAGGCAAAACCAAAGAAAAATCTCGAAATAAAAGGAAGGAACTAAGTAGGAAAGTTTTGGTAAACGCAGAGGAAGAAGCTGTCCAAGGGAAGATAAGAGTGGACACATTCTAGCTCACTTCTTGTGGGGAAGAGGATTAAGTTGGCCCTTGCAAATAGCTTGAAAGACCCCGAGAGAGACTCCAATGTTGAAGGAGACCAGCAACAGGAGGGGTGTGGGAGACTTAGTCGGAGGTAAAACAAAAGAGACTAAACTTGATCCTAAAAGAAATTTAGGTGGTAAGGAATCTACCAAGAAAGTAAGAACTCAATGTATGTGTGTTGAATAGTAATATTTAAAAATTATATTCACTAACATAATTCTACTTTTATGTTTTAGGGAAAAGGAAAGTTTCTCAATATAGTTGAGGAAGAGTGTATTGTTAGTGAGGTAATTATTAAGATATACATGTACTAGCTTTATTTTTACAGTAGTCAATAGATCTATTGACTTTCGTATTTTGTTCATGAATTGATATATACATCAGTTGACTTTCATGTTTTGTTAGTTGTTGAATTATTAGCGTACATACATATATAGACGTTTTAATTATTGGGATATACGTGTACTAGTTTTATATTTATGATATTTTAGTTGTACAATAGTAAATAGATGTATTGAGTTATTACTTTTTAGTTGTTTCTTGAATTGATATATACATCTATTAACTTTCATGTTTTTGTTAATTGTTGAATTATTAGTATATACATGTATAGACGTTTTAATTTTGATGATTGAGCTGCATAGTGATATATATGTGAATTGTATTCTAATTTTGGTTTTTCATCAACTGGTATATACATTTACATTTTGATAATTCTTCTAACATAAGGATGATACAAAATCTGATGAARATAATCAAATGGTGAGATAGGAACCGTGTAAACACTGTTAATACGTTTAAATTAACTTAATTTTCTAATAAAAGAATTAAAATAATTAGAATAAAATCTCTTGAAAATAGGAAACAACATTTGAATTGAACAGCAAGTTTGTAGGGTTGTTAAAATACTTCTAAATTCTAAAAAAGCATAGAGAGGGCATTGTGGGGGAAAAAACTAAAATATGTAAACTTCTAAATATATCCTTTCGCCATTTTTGCAAAATTATAAACAAATAGACATTTTGTTAAGTTAGTGGCTATAGCCACTTACTTAAATTTTCCTTTTGTTTAGTATCCAGTGGCCCATTATTTAGGGACTTTTCTTTTCTATTAATGTTTTTTTTAAACCCTAATTTATATAAGAGATGACCTACATCACATCATCAACAAACTATTTCCAAGTATTATTCTTGGAAATAGTTTGGTGGAGAATATATTTTTGAAAAAAAAAATCCTCACCGTTTAGTTTTGGGTTATCTCCGTATTTAATGGGCCCTCGGTCTAATATTGTTGGGCTGCTAATATAAAATAGGTTAACTACACAATTAGTCCGTTTCGAGATCTTAATTACAAAATTATCCAGTTTTATTAAAATTTTACAAATGTCTAAGATTTACAATAGAAGTCCAAACTTAAATTACAGTAATACCCATGTATTGAATGTAGAAAATATGTTAGCACTCTAGGACAACCGTTTTAAAAAACGGTTACCAAATTTTGTTTTAAATTATCCTATTATATTTTATAGGTCTAAAAAGGAAAGTATTTTTATATTTCATTTTAAATGTCTCAAATTTATTAAGTCACATCTTACGGTAAAGTGTGAATTAATAATTATGAGTGGCGCAAAGACCACTAGAAAAATTAATCACCCCGAGTGATGGATAATTTCAATCTCTGTCATTGGAGTTTTATGAAACTATTTTAGTATCACGTACAAGGCATGTAATAAAATTTTTAATTTTATTTATTGTAAAATAATTTATTTATTTATTTTTGTAAAGGAAAAATAAAATAATTTATTTAACTAAATTAGTATATGAATTAAAATTTATAGAAATATAATAAGTTTGTTAAATATATTTTAATTTTTATAATTAGTATAATGGTAAAAAATATAAGATTAGATGTAATTATTATACTCTTTCAAAAAAATGTAATTATTATTAATAAAATATGTTTGGGGAAGGGAATACCCTGGACACGTGGA